GCCAGGAGAGAGACCAGCGAGAGCAACAGAGAGAGACCAGGGAGACAAGAGAAAGACTAGAAAGCAACCAGAGAGACTAGAAAAAAAGACTGGAGAGATATCCGAGAGAGCCAAGAGAGAGATTCGAAAGAGAGACAAGAGTGAGATAGATCCAAGATGAGTCCAGAGAGAAACCAGATAGAGACTAGAGAGAGTCCTTAGAGAGACCAGAGGAAGAAATGAGAGGGACCAGAGGAAGAAACAAGAAAGACCAGAGAGCAACCAGAGAGAGACCAAAGAAAGACTAGAGAAAGACCAGAGTGAGAGATTAGAGAATGACCAGAGCGAGGCTAGATAAAGACCACAGAGAGACCTGAGAGAGACCATGGTCAGCCATATTGACCGGTGTTTGGAGTTGTTGAAAGCACAGAGGTCTTTGGCTGTATCCGAATGTCCACACTATACCCTATTCACTCACTCACTATATAGTTCGGGACTATATAGCGACTGAGTGAGTGAGTCAGTGCACTCATTCTGTTGGCGATTCGGACAGCTGCACACTATTTTTAGCCGCGGCCCACATCACACCCCTGTCACATGTCATTGGATCAATATAATTTTATATATAAATAAAAGTATATTAAAATATCAATATTTGTCTAATATACATGTATAAAATGTTTTTACAATTTATATTCATATTTATGAATTTTGGTTGACGTCTTTCATATTCCCGCCACCTGACCGGCTCCTCTAACACCGGTGAAATGGCACCTACACTGAATTTTGCGGTGTTTTTCATAACTATTATACAAGTTATCATAATGCGAATTAAACACCGCCGAACAGAGAGAAGGCGAAGACAGGCGATGAGGGCGAGGAGGAGAATGGCTCTTCGTTCATTAGCAAGGCGTCGTGTAAGTATTGTATTCGTCCTTTGTCTATATAGCATTAGCACCATCTACTGGGTAAATTATAGTACTTTTGGTGTACTTACTAAATAAAAATACTATTCTCAGTCAATGAGAAACACATTAGTCATATACATTTAGACATATTTCAACAAGAAAACACATTGTATAGACACACTCACTTAAAATGCAAGAACATTAAAATATTTTATTGGTTGAAAGAACACAAAACCATAGCAAGGGAAATGGATTAAGTACTCATTTTTTCTAAATGAAAAATGAGTACTTAATCATTAAACAATAATAGAATTTGCTTGGCCATGGGGCACAGGGCTTCTGTGATTTTTTTGTGTGTTATTAGGTGCGAGTGATGTAGTGAGGGTTTCTACTTCAGTTGTCTCAGGGCAGCTCCAGCTCCCTGCAACACACAATACATTTGGCAAAATCAATGCCAGGGCACAAAAGAACATGACTTCAGCTATATACTCTTCATTTTTATTTACATTTTTAAATCTCAAAATGAAAAATGAGTACTTATTCCTGTGTCTGCACTCATAACTAAAAGTGCAGATACAGAATTAAAAAATGAATCTAGAAGTATCATATTAAGTTTAAGAGAATTTTTGTTTTGTTTTAGGGTGAACCACCGGTGTACTGCCGACTGAACCACCATGTACCCCTAGTCAGCATGTACTTAAATGGCCAGTCTGACCTTCGCCCCGATTTTCGCCTCACTCGAACCACCATCACCCGTCTGGTTAGCCACCTGAGGAGTGCTCATCACCAGGGCTGGAGCCAGGACATGGAGGTTTTGGTCTTCCTCTTTTGGTTGGCCAGTGGCACCGCGTACCGTGTTGTCGCCAGGGCATTTGACATGCCTCAGTCTACGGTCCACGATGTGATCCACAGGGTGGCCAACCAGATCCTTCAAATGCGTGGCCAAATAATTCATTTCCCTTCCCTGGAGGAACTTCCCCAAGTTGCAGCTGGGTTTCAGTTGCTGGCTGGATCAGCTGCTCTCAATAATGTTGTGGGGAGCATCGACGGCTGCCACATCAGAATAAAGCCCCTTCAAGAGAATGCACAGTGTTATTTTAACAGGAAATTGTTTTATTCCATTCAAATGCAGGCTGTGTGTAATCACCGTGGCTTATTTATTGATTTGTTTGTTGGCTACCCCGGATCTGTGCACGATTCTCGAGTGCTTAAAAACAGCCCCCTCTACGTCCACCGGCTCTATCCCCCAAATGGACACGTCCTCCTTGGTGATGGTGGCTACCCTTGCCTCCGTCAGCCCATCACACTCCTCCCTCCATACAGAGAGCCTGTTCGGAGCCCAGTGGAAGCCCGCTTCAACCGGCACCATGCACGGGCACGATCTGTAATAGAGAGAGCGTTTGGCATGATGAAGGCAAGATGGCGATCCATTTTTTTTAAGGCACTGGAAGTCCAACCCACCTTTGCAGTCGAGGTGACTGCCTGTTGCGCCATCCTGCACAACATCTGCATCAGCGATGGTGATCTCTGGGAGCCAGTGGAAGAGGAGCCAGGGCCTGATGATGAGCAGGACCAGCATCAGCAGCACCAGCCTGATCAGCAGTGTGGACAGGAGCTGTGTGGACGGATGGCAGCAGCACTTTCCACCCCAAGGGCCAGGCTACCAGCTCTTCGGGACCACGACTATTAATTAAATGTTTGAATAATCTGTGTTTTGGCCTATTTAAATAAAAACAAAAACAATTGAATATGTAAATATCTAAAAAGAAATTGTTGAATGTATGTATAGTTCTTTACAAATGTCTAGTTGATTAAATTTTTTTTGTGTAAATAGTGTTCATCATTGTATGTAGTTCAAACTACACTTATCAAAATACATTTTTATTTATAATTTCTCCACTATTCTCTCCAACAAAAAAAAAAAACATTTAACACAATAAATGCTACACGTATAACACAAGTGCTTTAATAACATTAATGACTGACCACCAGTGACCCGTTTCTGTAGCGTTAGCTTGAGATGTTAATGTTATGATACGCAAAAATGCTAACATTTTTTGCGGCATAACATTGGTACGTTGTTTCGCATTAAAAGGCAATGGTATTCTGACTTCAAATGTGTATTTTGGCAGCTTATCGTCAACAATATATCACGGTTTACACATTTCCATATTTATGATGATCAAAAACTCACATTTATAGCTCATGTCCCGCTCCTGTTCCAACCCGTCTCTCTGTGCCTCCGCCATTTTACTTCCGTATAGTGACCACTGCTGTTCACTACATTTTCGAGATGCATTGTGGGAAAATTCCAGTGCACTACTTTTTCTCTCTGGACATTCGGACACCCCTACAAAATGGCGTGACCACTATATAGTGCACTATATAGGGTATAGTGTGGACATTCGGATACAGCCTTAGTTTCCTGTTGCCTGTATCCCTATTGTATCAGGAATTAGGAGTTATTTTCTGGATGCGTGCAGCGTTCCATTTATCTTGTTGAAGCTTTCTTCTTGTAATTTTTTAAAGTCGGTCAGTATGATGGCGCCTTTTCCCTCTGGTCATAGTTGCTGCTGTGTTATTGATGGGATTCGCCACCTCCCCTGAGCGAGCGCCGAAGAAGCCAGATGGACAGTGAAACGGGGAGAAGCACGGACGCCTATTATCACAGTTTATGTTCTTCGAATCAGAAAGTTCAGCGCTCGCCTCGAATGACCCCTGACATCATCGTGGAGAGAAGATTGAGTCGTGTTGGGAAACTCAAGCAGCTTTGAAAAGTGATTGCTGTGCATTAAGAATCACCCTGTAGCCCTGACCTTATCATCAATTACATTTATGGTGCTCCAAATTTCAACCGTTCATGAAATATGTGTTTCAAGAGTCACAAAGAGTACCAAAAAATGAATATTTCTCTCGCCGCCTCGTTTTTTTTGGGTAAGAATTAGCTGTTAAAGAGAGATCAGAGACAGATACCTGAGACAGAATGCAGAGAGACCAGAGAGGGACCAAAGAGAGGGACCAAAGAGAGAGACCAAAGAGAGAGACAAGAGAGAACGACCAGAGAAAAATACCACAGAGAGATCAACCAGAGATACACCAGACTGAAAGGAGAGAGACCAGAGATATCAGAGACAGAGGTCACAAAGAGAGAGACCACAGAGAAAGACCAGAGAGAAAGACCAGAGAGAGACTAGAGAGAACAAACCTGGGTGAGACTAGAGAAGAGACCACTGAGAGAGAGACCAGAAAGAGTCCAAAGACACAGGTCCGCAGCATGTAACCACCTCAGCTGGCTTGGGAATGCCACATGGTCCCCTGGGTTAGCTGTAGGAGGAGTGGGTTGGGGTCTGGGCGTCTCTGCTCAGACTGCTGCCTCGGCAACTTGGCAACAGCAGAAGAAAGTAGATGGATGGGAAGTGTCAGACAAGGGCACCGCTCGAGCAAGGGCACAGAATATATTTTACTGTACAAGAAATACGGCTGATGAATTTAGGGAGAAATCAGTCAATCAATCAAATTATCACACCCAAAGCACTAAGAAAAATAAAATAAAAATCAGTGTGTGTATGTGTGTGTGTGTCACCAATAATACCTATTTTTCAAACCAATATTGTAATAACAACTATTACTACCATTTTCCTTGCTCTCAAACAGTTTTCTTCTATCACTAGGTTTTAAATGCATGTTCAGAAAAGTAAAAAAGAGAGAACCACCCGGACTATGCCCGTTCCCAGCCCAAAGAGTCCAATAATGACTCACATGGCTCTTTCTTACACTAAAGATAACATGTATTCTCTTGAGATGAAGACAGCATTTTGTGGTCTTTCTGTTGGGACAAACACCATGTATTATTCATAAAACTAAAAAACTTTCATTATTGGGCAAAATGTGTATTTCTCATTATCAGTGCAGAAATATTATACTGCAACTACAATAAACAGCAGATAAAAGGGTCAAATTACTATTACTATTAATGATAACTCTGTCATCTGTGTGTTTTTCTAGACCAAAGAAAGCTATGGCCTTCCTGCCCGACCAAACTCTCTGGACACACGTGGAAATTCCTCCCACCTAAAGCCTGAATAATGTAACCAGCAGAACTCGCCCCTCGAGATGATGGATGCTGGTGTCTCCTTAGACCCTCTGCACGCCAGGAGCCATCTCAACATCAGCCACAGCAAGATCCACACCTCCCTCGTGGATTCGGCGGCAAACAGCACCAGTGTCAGCGCTCACAACATCCGGAACGCACTGCTGGGGTTCATGCTGGGGCTTCTGTCTCTCCTCACTATCGTCATGAATCTGCTGGTTTTATACGCTGTGAAAAGAGAGAAGAGCCTGCACACGGTTGGGAATCTCTACATCGTGAGCTTGTCTGTGGCTGATCTAATCGTCGGCGCCACCGTCATGCCGCTGAATCTTGTATACCTGCTGGAAGACGAGTGGAAATTGGGTCGCGCGGTCTGTCAGTTCTGGTTAATCATGGACTACGTTGCAAGTACGGCCTCCATTTTCAGCTTGTTTATTCTGTGCCTGGATCGCTACCGCTCCGTGAGACAGCCCCTGAAGTATCTGAAGTACCGCACAAGAGGCAAAGCGAGCGCCATGATCTCCGGAGCCTGGTTGCTCTCAATGATGTGGATCATTCCCATTTTAGGCTGGAGATCTTTCACCCACGTTGATCTGAAGCCAGAGGACGAGAACCAGTGCGACACAGACTTCCGCTTCGTGACGTGGTTCAAAGTCATCACCGCTATCTTTAACTTCTATGTCCCCTCGATACTGATGCTGTGGTTTTATATGCACATTTACAGAGCGGTGAGGCAACATCTGCGAGACAGAGAAAGGATTATTCACCCGACAGACTCCTTTGGGGAAAACGAACCAAACGACGCAACTCCAGAACCTCCTGAATCACCCAAAAAGGACAAAGACAAGTTGAGAAAAATCTCCAAAACCCATCGCTTGCTTGACCAGAACACTTTAGACCAGGCTTATTCCCTGGAGGAGATGGACCGGGCCAAAGTGGCTCCATCCCGCAAAAGTTTAGGCCAACAGAAATGTTTGCTTGCGATGACAAAGCAAAGACTTCCCCTGAAAGTCAATAAATGCCCTCTGGTGACTTGCAAAGAGCAGAGAACAAACACAGAGCTTCCGCATAATAAGCCCACAGGGGCCAAGGACATAATATGTTCAGTGGAAAACAATGAGAGTAAATTCAGAGCGTCTTTGAATCAATGTCAGGTCGCCGTGCCCAAAGCAGTGAGTGGGAATAGAGTACCGGACACTCAGGGGTACAAGAAAGCAATTTGCAGCCAGTGTGAAATCCATCACTCAAATGCCCCCTGGAAAGAAGAGGACATTCAAAGCGACAAAACAGGCGAGGAGGGTGAGGCGACGTTAAAGCAGACGTGGCAAAAGTTCATTGACAATTCTCGGCAGCGGATACAGAGTTTGCGTATTCATAAAGAGCACAAAGCGGCAAAGCAGCTGGGGTTCATCATCGCAGCTTTCCTCTTGTGTTGGATTCCGTATTTCATAGCCTTCATGGTCCTGGCGTTCTGTAGGGAGTGTGTGCACCATGACTTACACATGTTTACCATATGGTTAGGGTACATCAATTCCACGCTCAATCCTTTCATATATCCTCTCTGCAATGGGAATTTCAAAAGGGTTTTTAAAAGCATTTTGAACATCCACTAGTGTCATCCCCTGGCTCTAGGCTATAACCAAGCACTCACCAAACAAACAAATGTCAATTATAAAATAGTTCATTATGAAAGAAAGCTGAAGTAAACTAATGTCAAAAGGTGTGGGCGCTCAGGTACAGGGCTAGGAGTGAAGTGAGCCAGCCGGAGCCCGTGGCTGGAGGTGGGTCTTTTATGTATACGTCGGACCTATGCACGGACAGCCAATTCCACTCCCCAGCAACACCTACAGAGAATAGCAAACATATACATGGCAACAAGAGGGCAGCCAAGACGGGGCCATGACACCCCCTGCCATAAAGCAAAATAATCTCCTATTTCTCCCAGGCCAATCACAGATCCAATAATAAACGTACCACAGACGTTAAACAATGCAGGAACCACCACCAACCTTTTCTGTTAATACAAAATAATGCAACGCTTTACTCACCTGATGTACTGACCACGGGCAGGACTCACTCCCACTCTCCCAGAATTAACAACGCTCTTCCCCTCTGTGAAACAAATAGGAAAGGCAAATCCACCAAAACCTGCAGTGCAGCCAAACTTCACCTTTTTGCGCCCACACATCAAAGAGAATATGACATAACATCCAACATCACACCACAAACCACTCTCGTCCCAAAGTCCAATTATAACGAGCCCCCACCTGTTATAACCCGGCTCTAGGCTATAACCAAGGATGCACCAAACAAACAAATGTCAATTATAAAAAAGGGCTGCCAAGACGGGGCCATGACACTAGTGACACCAGAGGGCGACACCAGAGAACGAGAACAGAGAGATATCAGCAAGCGACCAGAGAGGGGCCTGGGGGACCAGAGAGAGAGAGACATGGACTGACCAGAGAGAGACCAGAGAGAGAAAAGAGAAAGAACAGAGAGAGACCAGAGTGAGAGACCAGGGAGAGGGATCAGAAAGAGGATACTTCAACTCCATGCTCAACTCCTTCATATATACTTTCTGTATACTTTCGGGAATTTTATAAGGGTTTTTTAAAGCATTTTGAACATTCTCTTGTGGCGTGGGCAATTCACAGTGGAATGCTGTATGTTTATGTAAATGTTTGTTGCAATGAACTGATGAACAGGGAATACTTGTTTTGCACCTGATCAAAGTGGTCCCTCTTATAATGAAAATGTTATTTGTTCTTCATATATTAGGCATAAACCCAATGGATGTAAAAGAGGACATTTAATAAGACCAGGCAGTTACAAGACACATACAGCGACAACAGAATATAAACCATGCGTACATACAAGAGAGAGGTTCGAGCCCTGAGGAGGCTGTCAGCTACAAGGTGTTGTCAGCGAGTGGGACCAGAAAGAGAGACCAGAGAGGGACCAGAAAGAGAGAACAGAGCGACCAGTGTAGAAGACTAGAGAGAGAGAGACCAGAGAGAGACCAGAGCAAGACTGGATTGAAACCAGAGCGAGAGGAGGGACCATAGAGAGAGATCAGAGGGTACATCAACTCAGCAGCAGACCTTCCACCCGATCTTGTCAAAGTGACTGTCCACACAGAGAGCCAATAGTAAAAGACCCCCACAGATACATATCAGCTGCATGTGGTGTCAGCCAGGACACAGTGGTACCCCCCCATGAAGAGGGACCATTGATCACAGGACACATAAAGGAATCCCATTCCAACATTTCCTCAAGAGTTTTATTTCCAAATCTGGTATTTAGTAGTACTGCAGTTACCAAGTATTGCAATTTCAACCCATGCTCTGTTTTAGGATGTATACTGGGGCCTCTAACCCTCTTTTGATGTATTGGACAGAGCATTTTAAAAACAAAAGTATTGCCTCTAAATTAGATGGGTTCTTCAGTCAAACTAGTTTTACAACAGCATGCCTTCCGTTAGACTGGGCCATGTACAATATAATCTAACATCCCACTTCTACCACTACGGGAGTTTTGAGCTAATATTATTATCACCATCTATTATTATTATTTATGTTGGTGAATGGACTTAGTGGTGCTACCACTCCCGTGTACTTTAGGTGCTGTATTATGGACAAATGAATGTGTCCATTGTCAAAACTAGTTTATACACTCATAGATTGTATATAGGAATGAGGAATGCTAACTAGCTAGCTAAGAAGCCTCTGTAACCATCTGTGTCACACTCACCATGTTGGGCTTACAAATCTGAAGTTCACCGCTCTACATGATCCTGGTGTTTATTTTTCATCATATGTTTGTGAATCCAGATATGAGCCCCAACACCTGACCAATCAGGTGCCTTCTGTCTCCAAATTTGGCTTCAGTGAGTGAGTTGGAAGAGCAGGAACATACCAGTGCCGTTCCTGATTGGCTCTTTGGCTGCTAGGTTGTTTGAGAATGAAAGTGTTGGATTGATTTGATGAGGTCAATTAAGTCACTCAATATTCTAATCTTTACTTGATGAACCCTTTGTCCAGACATTAAAAAAAACACTGACTGGAACAGACAAAACAAATACATCAAACTATTTTACAGTTTGGTTCTGAGCATTACAAGGTACAGGTTGGGTACAATATTTTACTACTAGCTCGACCCTTCCCTACTCTGCTCTGCTCTACTCTAATCTACTCTACTCTGTTCTGCTAAGCTTTACTCTACTCTACTCTTCTCTGCCCTACTTTACTCTACTCTGCCCTAGTTTACTCTACTCTACTCTGTTCGAATCTACTCTCTTCTTCTCTGCTTTACTCTACTCTACTCTGCTCTAGTTTACTCTACACTGCTGTGCTCGACTCTACTTTTTTCTGCTCCACACCACTCTACTCTGTTCTACTCTACTCTCCCCTAATTAGAAATGTTTCCACTGGCCCTGTTTAACCAGTACCAGGTCCTTCTTAAGTCCCTCTTGGCGCTGGTTCTATATCTAGGCCGAGCTGGTACTAAAGTGTTCGAACTGACAGTGATTTGCCAGAGTGCTGCTGGAAGCCATGGTTAGCAAGGAATTTCCCACAACCAGGTAAAGTAGACGAGCGTACAGTAAAGAAAAGTAGAGTAGGTTAGGGTAGAGAAAAAGTAGAGGAGAGGACAGTAGAGTAAAACCAATCAGGGCTGGTAGAAGCAGGGTTATAGCCCACAGACCACAGTTTGGACACCACTGTTTATGTTACAGAACCCAGACCTCTGCTCTGACTCATCTCTGTATTTAATTGAATGCCACGCTGACGTCTGAGTTAAGTCGGACATGTTCCCTTCGCCACTTGGACAATGACACCAGCCCACGCATTGTCCGCTCCAAATCAACGTTACTGTCGCCTCAAACGCAAATGCAAATCAGATTTTTTTATTGTGATATTTATTTTTATACCAAGTACATTGCACTCTGCTTGTTCATTGTATATATATTACTGTGTTGTTTTTGTACATGAGGGAAACTGTATAAAGGAAAAAGTTGTGATAAATCCACAGACGGATGCTGCCTCCGCTGTATTATACTGCATTGAAATGTGATTAAATGCATGTGAATGACTCGTGTTTTGGTGCTTTTTAGGTCTTGGTTATTTATGTACAGTAGTGGTCTATAACATCTACTTTTCAGTTACTGATATAAATAAGCTTTGTGTTTTGGTTTCTCTTTCAGGTCTCCCTCTCTCTGATTTCTCTTTAGTCTCTCTCTGTCTTTCCCTCTCTCTGGTCTCTCTTCTTTGGTCTCTTTCCTTGGTCTCTCTCTGTTTTCTCATACATCTCGCTCTCTCACTGGTTTCTCTCCTCTGCGCTCTCTCTCTTGTCTCTCACATTCATTCATTGCAACAATTAGAGAAGTGCTGTAGCTCTAAGGAGTCTCTTGTTCCTCGTTTGTTTCCATCTTGTCTCTCTGTCGGGACAAGTCTCGCACACAGAGCATGTTTTTCTGCTCTCTTTGTTGCCATTCCTGTAAGAGTTTTGAACTTTACGTGTACTTTTGCTGAAAGCTCTCTGGACCAAACTGCCATAAAGTACCTCGGGCAGCTCTCAGAAATAGCATAAAATGGAGCATTATCTCTCTCCGAAAAGCTTTGAAAGAGCAGAGGTCAATGCTCTCGCCATCTGAGGCCTCTTCACTTCTCAATCTGAAACTTCAAAATCGCTGGAGAGCCATTGGTTTTCACAGTGTTCATATAATTTTTACTATCTGGCACTGTATCCCAGCAACCTCCCCACAACAAACCATTATCCGTAGAAATTCCTTGGCAACCATGGCTTCCAGCAGCTCTATGGCCAATTGAGATCAGCCTTTATTTGAAAGGCACAGTGCACAGTAACAAAAGCTCAAAGACTAATTTCAGTCTGCAATCCCTTGTTACGTGTAATACATAAAAAAAAAAAACAATACAATACATAGATAGATAGATTGATAGTTTATTGATCCCCATAGGAGAAATTCAGGTGTCCAGTAACAGAAAAAATAGAAAATAAAATGTATAATTCTAAAAAGATGAGATAGCAACAACCCTTCAGGTCACAGCAGCAGAGGTGATGTAGCCACTGGGTGGAGCAGCAGAGGTGGAGCATCCGCTGGGTGGAGCGGGACAGGTCACAGTAGCCGCGTGGTTCGGACCATTTTCTCTGCTCGAGTCCAAAGTGAAAGGCTGAATGCTTCATTAGCCTTTTTCAAAAAGTTAGCGTTATTTCATTGGATTTTTGCCTGATCCGCTTGTTTCGGACCATGAATCCTCTCTTGTCTAGGCTGGACCAGTGTAAAACCATGAACACTGTACTGCAGCAACATCGCTGGTAGAAAAAAGCAATACAAATAAAAATTGTAAAGCACAAAACAATCAATCAACTTTTATTTGTAGACCACCTTTCCTACACAAGGCAACACAAAGCGCCTCACAACCCATATCATATCAGGGATCAATCATAGACATTCAAATCTACATACAGTAAACATTAAAAATACAATTAAAATCCAGAGGGCATTAAAAACACACAATAAGATCACAAGAATTTAGACATAAAAATAAAATCACACAAGTAATCAAAAACTTTGAAACAATAAAATCACACTTGGGATTAAAATCATAAAGAGTCATAGTGCACCTAAAAATAAATTTGTTCAGTGGAATGCACAGCTAAACAGAATTGTCTTTAACCTAGACTTGAAAACTGCCAGAGAAGACGCCTGTCTCACATTCTCAGGAAGACTATTCCAAATCATAGCCGCACAAAACCTGACTCTGGGCACTAGCAGGAGGCAAGTCCCTGCGCTCCTCAGAGTCCGAGTCGGTTCATATGGGACTATTTCACTTAAGTACTCAGTGCGAGGCCATGGAGAGACTTGTACACAAGCAGAGCTGT